GAAGTAGAACATGGTTAACTTAGGGTAGGTGGGGGTTAACGTGGTAGAACATGGCTAACTTAGAGCAGATGTGGGTTCACGTGGTAGAGCATAGTTTACGTATGGTGGATGCTGGTCAACGTGGTAGAACATGGTTAACTTAGGGTACACGTGGGTTAACGTGGTAGAACACGGTTTACTTAGGGTACTTGTGGGTTAACGTAATAGAACATGGTTAAATTAGGGTAGATGTGGGTTAACGAGGTAGAACATGGCTAATTTAGGGTAGGTGTGGGTTAACGTGGTAGGACATGGTTAACTTAGGGCAGATGTTGGTTAACGTGGTAGAGCAAGGGTAACTTAGGGTAGATGTGGGTTAACGTGGTAGAACATGGCTCAATTAGGGTAGATGTGGGTTAACGAGGTAGAACATGGTTAACTTGGGGTAGATGTGGGTGAACGAGTTACAACAAGGCTAACTTAGGGTAGATGTGGGTAAACGAGGTAGAACATGGCTAACTTAGGGTAGATGTTGTTAAAGTAGGTACATCATAGTTATCCTTGGGAAGATGTGGTTGAGCGAGGTACAACATTATTAACTCAGGGTAGATGTGGGTGAACGAGGTACAACATGGTTAACTAAGGGTAGATGTGGGTGAACGAGGTACAACATGGTTAACTTAGGGTAGATGTGGGTTAACGCAGTAGAACATGGCTAATTTAGGGTAGGTGTGGGTTAACGTGGTAGAACATGGTTATCTTAGTGCAGATGTGGGTTAGCGTTGTAGAATATGGCTTACTTAGGGTAGATGTGGGTTAACGTGGTAGAACATGGTTAACTTAGGGTAGATGTGGGCTAACGTAGTAGAACATGGTTAACTTAGGGTAGATGTGGGTTAACGAGGTACAACATGGCTAACTTAGGGTAGATGTGGGTAAATGTGTTAGAACATGGTTAACCTAGGGTAGATGAGGGCTAACGTGGTTGAACATGGCTAACTTAGGGTAGATGTGGGTTAACGTGGTAGAACATGGTTAACTTAGGGTAGACGTGGGTTGACGTGGTGGAAAATGGCTTACTTTGGGTAGATGTGGGTTAGCGTTGTAGAACATGGCTTACTTAGGGTAGATGTGGGTTAACGCAGTAGAACATGGCTAACTTAGGGTAGATGTGGGTTAACGTGGTAGAACATGGTTATCTTAGGGCAGATGTGGGTTAGCGATGTAGAACATGGCTAATTTAGGGTAGGTGTGGGTTAACGTGGTAGGACATGGTTAACTTAGGGCAGATGTGGGTTAACGTAGTAGAACATGGTTAACTTAGGGTAGATGTGGGTTAACGAGGTAGAACATGGTTAACTAAGGTTAGATGTGGGTTAACGTGGTAGAACATGGTTACCTTAGAGCAGATGTGGGTTAACGTGGTAGAACATGGCTAACTTAGGGTAGATGTGGGTTAACGTGGTAGAACATGGTTAACTTAGGGTAGATGTGGGTTAACGATGTAGAACATGGCTAACTTAGGGTAGATGTGGGTTAACGTGGTAGAACATGGTTAACGTAGGGTAGATGTGGGTTAGCGATGTAGAACATGGCTAACTTAGGTTAGATGTGGGTTAACGTAGTACAACATGGCTAACTTAGGGTAGATGTGGGTAAATGTGTTTGAACATGGTTAACCTAGGGTAGATGAGGGCTAACGTGGTTGAACATGGTTAACTTAGGGTAGATGTGGGTTAACGTGGTAGAACATGGTTAACTTAGGGTAGACGTGGGTTGACGTGATGGAAAATGGCTTACTTTGGGTAGATGTGGGTTAACGTAGTAGAACATAGTTAACTTAGGGTAGATGTGGGTTAACGAGGTAGAACATGGTTAACTTAGGGTAGATGTGGGTTTAAAGCTATTGAACATGTTTAACTTAGGGTAGATGTGGGTTAACGTGGTAGAACATGGTTAACTTAGGGTAGATGTGGTTAACGTGGTAGAGCATCGCTAACTTCGGGTAGATGTGGGTGAACGTGATATAACATGGCTCACCTATGGTAGATGTGGGTAACCGTGGTAGAACATGGGTAACTTATGGTAGATGTGGGTTAACGTGGTAGAACATGGGTAACTTAGGGTAGATGTGGGTTAACATGGTAGAATATTGTTAACTTAGGGTAGATGTGGGTTAACGTGGTAGAACATGGTTAACTTAGAGTAGATGTGGGTTAACGTGTTAGAACATGACTAACTTGGGGTAGATGTGATTTAACGTGGTAGGACATGGCTAACTTAGGGTAGAAGTGGGTTAACGTGGTAGAACATGGCTAACTAAGGGTAGATGTGGGTTAACGTGGTAGAACATGGTTAACTTAGGGTAGATGTGGGTTAACGTGGTAGAACATGGTTAATTTAGGGTAGATGTGGGTTAACGTGGTAGAACATGTCTAACTAAGGGTAGATGTGGTTAACGTGGTAGAACATGGCTAACTTAGGGTAGATGTGGGTTAACGTGGTAGAACATGGTTAAGTTAGGGTAGATGTGGGTTAACGTGGTAGAACATGGTTAACTTAGGGTAGATGTGGGTTAACGTGGTAGAACATGGCTAACTAAGGGTCGAAGTGGTTAACGTGATAGAACATCGCTAACGTAGGGTAGATGTGGGTGAACTTGGTAGAACATGGTTAACTTGGGGTAGATGCTGGTCAACGCGGTATAACATGGCTCACCTATGGTAGATGTTGGTTACCGTGGTAGAACATCGGTAACTTATGGTAGATGTGGGTTAACGTTGTAGAACGTGGCTAACTAAGGGTCGAAGTGGTTAACGTGATAGAACATCGCTAATGTAGGGTAGATGTGGGTGAACTTGGTAGAACATGTTTAACTTAGGGTAGATGTGGGTTAACGTGGTAGAACATGGTTAACTTAGGGTAGATGTGGTTACCGTGGTAGAACATCGGTAACTTATGGTAGATGTGGGTTAACGTTGTAGAACGTGGCTAACTTAGGGTAGATGTGGGTTAACGTGGTAGAATATTGTTAAGTTAGGGTAGATGTGGGTTAAAGTTGTAGAACATGGCTAACTTAGGGTAGATAAGAAAAAAAAAACAAAAAATAACTCTTGCATGGATAGCATGCCTATGTTTTGAAATAGGTGTATGCCCTTGGCCAGACTTGGGCTCACTATCTCATTATAATAATTATTTATTAGGTAGTTGTATAGCTCTATTTACATGTACAGATCAATAGTATACTAGTCCGACACCCATTGTATCACTACACTTGATTCCAAGGATCCAGTACCATCCAGGTATCCCAGTTACCCTACTCACAGGGTCTAGTTTCGCCATGAATTGCTCGTGGATTTCAGTTTAATTTTGATATGATTTTTACCTTGTCCATCCTTTACAGCGGCAGTAAAAAGCTGGATTAGCACAGGAAGAAAAGCCACCTCCACCCAAAGAATCAGCCCAACTTGAACTTTATTTACTTACGTGTAACATGTAGCCGCATACAGTTAACTTAATTGTTTTATATTGTGTTGTTAAACGTAGACGCGAATGAATAACTCAACTCACCTATTCGCTGTGCACAACTTCCTGAATTCACTGTCGTTCACCCTAGGTCTGTAATAACTAAACAAAAAGCACAAGAGAGTAAAAAATGATTGCTCCCAAACGACTCGAGTAAGATGACTCCATATGTCATTTTGAATTCCTAATTTTGGCGAGTAAATTTGGGTGCTTCGTATGTCTCGTTTTTTTATGCTTTGTAGCACGTGTAAGGCAGTCCTTAGTCGAGGCTTTTATCAAAAACGTCTGGGCAGCTGGCGGAAACTAATAAATACGTATTTTAACGAAAATGGTCCCCTTTTTATCGTGAAATAGCTGTGTAATACATTTATGTCACATATCTTCATCGCCGAGAGGTTCATTGACAACTTTTATAGACGATTTCCTTTTAAAAATTAAACGATACGAGTTAAGACATGTCACTTAACAACAACAACAACTGTTTCGTTCTACTTTCAGAGTTCATTGTGAGGTTGCATTCATTCAATTGTTAGCCCCATAGGGAATGCTCTTTCAATGTCTTCCTATGTCGCTCCTCGACCGACAAGTGCGTTTCCGGCCGGTTTTAAGTTTGAAAACCTTGGCACTTCGGAGAAGCAAGGAGCGTCGACACAGAATCTATACTTGCGCTGAACACAAAATTCCTTGTCGCGTGGAACGTAAAGAGCATCAACCGCCAACAGAATATCACCAGTATCAAAGGACACTTTCTTACACCCTGCACAATGTGGTGTTGGGCTGGCTGATCGATTTAACCGCTCCATACGCCACACTTCAGTGTGATTACTGTTTCGTCGAGAAATTCTATAATCGATCATTAAGTTAATTTATCCACTAATGACTTACGTTATAGTGATGTCATAACACTAATGTAGGTCATTTGTCAGCTGTGGACCTAGCCGACGCACTGGGTAAATATCAAATCGTTTCGTATACTTTATTATCTGAGCATTTCATAACAATGTAACTTCCCTTTAGGATTCGAACGCAGTTCTTATATTGTCTGGCAGTAAAGTCGTCAATAAAGATGTTTGATAACAGTGAACCAGAAACCCACAACTGACGAAACAATTACTCCGCGGGTCATTCCTAATAACTGTGTCAGCGTTACTCTGCGCATCGTTGGCAAGCTTTGGCATTTGTTCGGCAGGTTTTGGCTGAGTACACGGAGGTGGAGCGCGTTGAAAAATGGAGCAGACTCCTTGCTCAGTAAGTGCTGCTTGTTGAAGGGTATCATCCTTTTCATTGACCCCAAGGACGACAACGTACAGCCAAATCAAGTGCTTGCAGATCTTCACCGTTCACCTCGTCATGAAATCTTCGCAAATGCAACTCGGAGTTGTGCCAATTAATACAGTGTAGGAACCATAACCAAACCGATCACGTGCACTTGATAACTCATGTTTGCGAAGCAATTTACCTTCTTCTGAAACAGACAATAACTTGATCCTGTGTCGGTCAGTCTGAATTGCTCGTTTCAATGTAATATTGAACTGACGGCTTCGCACACGGTGCCTGGCTCCTCTTTTTTAACTCGTGAATTGTGCGCAAGAGCGAGTTGTAGATATGATGTGGAGAAAGGTACTCGCTCGCTCGATTGGTCGATTCCTGTAAACTTTTTTTCAATTTTAGGCTTTTGAGAGCATTTGATAGTTTTTGGCGAGTAATAAACAAACGAAATGGCGACCTTTGTTGCTAAGAATAGTGGTGAGGTGAAAATGAAGCCAATGATAATCTTAAAAGAGTTTTTTTTTGTTTTAGTTTCAACAAGCGGCGCTAGCGCCTGGCAAGCGTGCGAGGATTCACACTGAAATAAGAGAACAACCTTCGTTTTCCATAAAATTGTAATTTGCAATCCTTGAACTTGAGAACAATCCAAAGATTCATTAAAAATATTACTTACTCCGAAGCGACCGGAGTTTTACAAGTGTTCAAAAGCTTTTTATGTTATGGCGTGAGATTGGGGACAAAATCGATCATTATATTTCGTATCGTGTGTTTTTCCTGTGTGAAGCAACAAAAGGTGCCGGCGACTGACGAAATTACAGGTTAACACGAAAATCAAATAACACCTAAACAAATAATTTTGGCTACCGATTTCCAGTGGATTTTTAAAGAACAATTTTCTTTTAAGTTTCAAGACAATTTAAAGATTCTAGATAGATATTACGTACCAAAATACGACACTTATACACCACAATCTTGTTCTTGATTAGCACGTGACCAAAATCTACCCAGGTGGAAATCCAAAATGACGGTGGCAGTCTTGGCTTATATGTCACTCAAAACTCGTTCCCGTTTGTTTCATTTGATAAAGAGGGAATCATTAATGTTTTCATTAAGACAGTATTGCCTTGATTTTCCAATGTTTACAATGATAAACAGTAAATTTCACTTTTCACCCACATTTACTTCCAACCTTTTCTTTCGAACCTGAAACACAAATGATATATGTATGTTATTTGCTGGCTGGGAGGTCCGTATGGTGAAAAACATTTCAAGACCGAGGTCACAGTTTTTCAACATACGGACTGACCCTTTGCTGGTAAATAACATTTATTTTTTTTAAATTTGACGAAATTCTTTCCGAAAGAACCCGAATGATTTAGGGCTGTAAATATGGCAAGATCTTTCATAAACTGAACAGTTTTTGAGTGAGTAAATAGTAGCTAAAGGTTAAAGAGAGACGCCTCACCGAAACATTTTCATTTCCGTAACAATAAAGGTGATTTAAAAGGCTTCCAACAAACTTTGAAACATTATTTTTATAAGTATCTGTTACAATCTGACAGCTGTCAATTGGGGAGCGCATAAGAAAAGAAAAAGCGCAAGAACATTTGAAAAACAACGGAACTAGTTTGGCAAGGACTGTCACAACAATGTTTTCTTCAAAGCCAGTCAATGATCTAACGGGAAGTATTATTCACTCTTATCGACGATTCATTCATGAACGAAGATTTACCTCTGTTCATTAAGTAAACGACAAGGAAAATAAATGCGAGTAAATTCAATTTTTTTATTTTGAAGTTGTGAGAGTTTGTTCGTTTGTTTGCTGCAATGGCGTGGGTAAATCTGGTCTTTCCTCCACGAAAACTAAATTCGAATGGCACACTCCAACGAAACAAACGGGGATTTAATGCGGCCTTTTCTCATTGAACTCCTTCAGTTTCTATTGTGCAATTTACGGTACAAATGTCCAAATTGAACGGACTCGGAAAGACTCACCGAGAGCGTAAATTTGTTGTAGAACTTAAATTAAAACTTCGCTCGCTCTTTTACTACGAACAAATTGTTTGAGAAAATTCAGATATTAAATGAATAAAAGTTACATCGTTCAGTTTAACTGTAACCAAATACTTCACGTTTTAACTTTCTATGTACTTTTTGCGAACGATTAAAATTAACTGCAGACGGTTTTTAGGCAGCTTGTCAACCAACATAATTGACACTATTGCTTATAGAAATTCATTCTGAAACCAATATTTTTCTGTCGACCAAAGTGATTTGAGACAGAGGAAACAGAGGATTCATAAGTTATTTATTGGCTTGAGGCAGTGACCGACGTGTTTGCATAAAAATACTGCCCAGCCGGAAAAACGAGATATATTTATGAAAAATGGCAACGAAAGTTGGGATGTACTAGGCAACTCAAGAAAGCGTTACCGTGGCCCGTGGGCAGAGATATATATGTTATTTGCCGGCTGGGAGGTCCGTATGGTGAAAAACTGTGACCGAGGTCTTGAAAATACTGCCCGAGGCCGTAGGCCGAGGGCAGCATTTTCAAGACCTCGGTCACAGTTTTTCACCATACGGACCGACCCTTAGCCGGTAAATAACATATTTATTGTTTTTAAACTTGACGAAATTCTTTCCGAAAAAACCCGAATGATTTAGGGCTGTAAATACGGCAAGATCTTCCATAAACTGAACAATGTTTGAGTGAGTAAATGGTAGTTAAAATAGAGGTGATGCAAATTTAAGAGAGATGCCTCAGCGAAACATTTTCATTTCCGTAAAGATAAAGGTGATTTAAAAGGCTTCCAAACAAACTTTGAAAAATTATTTTTACAAGTATCTGTCACAATCTGACACCTGTCAATTAGAGAGCGCGTAAGAAAAAAACATCGTAGGAACATTTGAAAACCAACAGAACTAGTTTGGCAAGGGCTGTCACGACAATGTTTTCTTCAAAATCAGTCAATAATCTAACGGAAAGTATTATTCACTCTCATCGACCATTCATTCATGTACGAATGTTTACCTTTGTTCATTAAGTAAACGGCGAGGAAAGTAATTGTGAGTAAATTCAATTTTTTTACTTTGAAGTTGTGAGAGTTTGCTCGTTTGTTTGCTGCAATGGCGTGTGTGACTCTGATCTTTCCTTCACAAAAACTAAATTCGAACGGCACACTCCAACGAGACACAAGGGAATTTAATGCGGCCTTTTCTCAAAAAATTCCTTCAATTTCTTTCGTGCAATTTAAGGTACAAATGTCTAAATTGAACGGAATTGGAAAGACTCACCGGGAGCGTATATTTGTTGTAGAACTTAAATTAAAACTTCGCTCGCTCTTTCACTACGAACGAATTGCTCGAGAAAATTCAGATATTAAATGAATGAAAGTTCCATTGTTCAGTTTAACTGTAACCAAATACTTCACGTTTCAACTTTCTGGGTACTTTTTGTGAACGATTAAAATTAATTGCAGACGGTTTTTAGGCCGCTTGTCAACCAACGTAATGACACTATTGGTTATTCAAATTCATTCTGAAACCAATATTTTTCTGTCAACCAAAGTGATTTGATAGAGAGAAAAGGGAGGATTCATAAGTTATTTATCGGCTTGAGATAGTGACCGACGTGTTTGCTTAAAAATACTGCCCAGCCGGAAAACGAGGTATATTTATGAAAAAATGACAACGAAAGTTGGGATGTACTCGGCGACTCACGAAAGCGTTACCGTGGCCCGTGGGCAGAGATAGGGAAAATACTGACCGGGTAAAGAACCAATCAGATTGCAAGATTCGTTACCGTGCCCTCTAAAAAAACAATAAAATAAAATACTGACCAGGTAAGAACCAATCAGATTGCAGGATTCGTTACCGTGCCCTCAAAATAAAAATGCTTAAAACATATGACATCATTCTCCCTTGTCAAATGTTATAGCATCATTCTTATCCCAAGGTTAATTTGTTTCTTTGCTACATTAGCGAACACTGAACTACTGCTCGTACTCTAAATATGACAATCAACCACAAAATTCCCTAGCCAGATAACCTTAAACATAATCCAAAAAATTATGTAAGTCATCTGTCAATTCACGAGTTTGCTCACAGAGCACTTTGATCCAGTGGAAAGGTCCTCAACATCGCCTTGAAGGAAATCTTCTTCTTCTTCTTCTTGTTCGTCAGATGTACTCGCCAGGCTGTCTTCACATTCTTTCAAGTTCGACGTCTTGTTCAAGTTCTTCGTCGTCGTCTTCTTCTTAGGTTTTGTGGCTCGATGCGAGCTTAGAGGATCAACCTCGTAAGTGCTTAAAGCGTTCGCTACGGAGGACGAGTCAGAGGGTTCGTCTCCTACGATAAGATTCCTCACATACATTTCTGCGCGATTCATCTGAGCGTGAGAGCTCCGTAATGTAATGACAGACACACTATGACCTGTCCCTCCACGAAAACTACCGGCCTCGTAACCTCTGAACTGCCTCTCCAGAATAAGGCTATCCTTGATGTCTTCCGCTGCAGCATCTACAAGAGATAGGTGTGTTCCTCTTGTCGTTTTCCATTTGGAGTGGATTACTTCTGCAAGGTTTGTAGCTGGTGCATTCTTCCGAGCAGAAGCAGGAAAAACGTGCGATCGACGGTCGTCCCACCACTTCAGCCAAGGAATAAGAAAGCCGTGTTGATCTTTGGCGGGTTTCTTAGCAACAAATTTGTCCAGCGCTAGAATAGCATCGTTATAAGAACTCGAGGTTTGCGCTTGGAGAAGTGTTCGACTTGTTCGCGTAACACGAGTGAAGAACTTCTTCGATTTCTCACTATGCAAGCGAGCTCTTTGTCGGTTTGCGCACTGTAAGAAGTGGAATTCACACGTCTTCAGCTTCTCAGGGACTGAATTTCCATTGACTTTTCTCAGCCCTTCCTGAAATCCACCAGCTTCATCAGTCATGAATTCAGCAATTGGATCAAAAACTCTGCCTGGAATGATTTTTTCGATTACTTCGTTGACAGAGGAGAAAAATTTGGTCTAATACTCTGCTGTTTCTCCCTCGCATTCTATTATGAAAAGGGGCACTTGCTTGCGTGAAACAGGATGGTAGACACTCAGGATGACACTTTGGAAATCTTTGCAACGATTCCATTCTCCATCAATGTAACAATACTCGTTTGACAGGAAGTGCTCTTCGTCTCCCATACTGAGTGCAAAACTGTCCTTTAGCTTGCTTGTCTTGAATACGAACGAGGGCTCGTCGGGGTTCATATGTCTATCATTCGTTTTGCAGATGAAGAACTTATCTTTCTCGTCTGATTTTCGCTCAAGGTGGGCCACTGCCTCGAAGCTATGACCAGCTGGGTTGTTCACCTTGTTGATTATAGCTTTCAGGTTTGAAAGCCTCTTTGTGTCGAGGAGAGAGTCTGTTGTTTTCCCCAGGCCATCCCAGTCTACAACGCCTGTCTTCCAAAATCGACTACCACACTACTTAGGATAGTTTCAAATTTGGGTTCTTTCGAAGAAACTGTTCCACAACGGAGGGAAGGGAACTTTCCTTTTCGCATAGGTGGGGCAGGAATTCCGTGACCTTTCGAGCTAAACAAGAAACAAAGATGAAGCATCTTCCACAAACCTTACACACCACGTAGCCATCCCTGTTTTTCTCAAACTGAACTTTATATCTAGTACCACATGCATGGAGCTACATATAATTCAAGTACTCTTTCAACTTTTAAAGTCGACTGCTGTTGAGCAACGGGTCATTTCTGGGTAAATTTGTATGTTAATGAAGTAAAATATTAAAATGACGTCAGACTGGGATTCCCTCAATTCATCAATAATTGAATCAATAAAGGGGAAAAAAGCTTACTAGTAGTGGAATGGTCTGAATCTGAGCCACAATAAAAACAGCTATTTATTACAAAACAGAAATGCAAACAAGTTAATCAATAACATCACTCAGTGTTACAATATTAGTTCCTTTCCAGTTTCTTCCTAGTTCAACCTTTTAGAAAGAGTACTGTAAAAAGAAAATTCCAAACCAGTAACTAAGTCTCTTGTGATCGATATATAGGATGTGTGAATCCAAGGGAAAACAGTTTCTTCGTAAAAAAAGATGATGAGTGCTAAACATTTAGGGCAAAGCGATTAAGTCCTAAAATTATGACACAACACCTATCTCACCTTGTTCTGTATGAGTCTGCCACACACGTTGCATCAATTCTGCATCATCCTCGCTGAAAATAATTTAAGTATTTTGTTCTAATAGTTATTATTATCATCAGTTTGACATGTAATTTAAAGATAGTAGAATCCTGAAGCTATATGATTTAGCAAATAATTGAACTATGAACTAGCTTAACTTTACAGATATATGAAACATAATAACTTACCTTTAAATGTAAAGCGATGATGTACTAGGTTCCTCAAAAGACGTTTTAAATGAAAAATTTCTGACTGCTGCAGAAATTGGCTTGGAATCTTCATTTGTACAGTGGGGGAAACATAGGACATGCTGGAGTATGACTGTCACAAATTCCCCAAAAGAGGTTTCATTACCTCAAATATATTTGAGCACTGACTACTAACTAGAATTAAGTATATTGAAATCATTTGTCACATATACCTTCGTATCCGCTTATTGGACTTTGAGGTGAATCACTAATATCAATCTTAATGGGTGCATTACGTGGTTTTGATGACCCACAAACAATGCAAACATCGGATGATTTCACATTTATGAGTGTGCACTTTTTGCACTTTCTGCGCTTTCTGCACCTAGAGATTTTTTACCAACAATAAAAACGTTTTGACGCATGTTATCATCGCACTCTACTTCCGGAAGGAAGATTCAATTTAATTTTCGACTGTGTACAAGTAAGCCTACAATTTCCGTCGGTATCTCTGTAAAACAGGACTAAACTGCCTCCCTCAGAACAGTCTTATGCACCACCTAGACCACCACCTTGTGCTGAAGATAACTTAAAAAACTTCTGGATTTTTTGATTATCTAAAAGTGATTTAATTCAGCGGCAACGAAACCAGACAGCAGGAAGATACTTTGCATGCTATCATTTCATTTTTGTTTTCAACTAATCGTGTGAAATAGTGAATTTAACCAATGTAAGCGATGAAATACCAAGCTTAAAAATAACTGCCTAACTCGACATTTCGAGCCCGCTAACAATTATCAGCGGTATATCGTATTACACTCCGGAACAATAGAATGTCAAGAGAATTCAATATGGCAGCGATCACGGCTCGATCTGCAAAGAAGCGTGTTTCGTACCATGACTTACACAATTTGAGCACCGCAGATCTTCTATTTGATGAAAAAACAAAGAAAAGAAGACCTGCAAGTAAATCTTTGGGATTTTTCGAGGCAGAGCGATGACATGATGTCAGAATTTTGATTTGCTTTAATTAAACTTTCGCGCCAAGACTACTGAATTTGCATTCAACGCCTGGCATATTTTTATTCCGAACAGGACCTTAGAACTTATTTATTTCCCTGCAAGAACATAAACAAATATGGCCGACGATTCGAAGATCAGCATTGCTGGTGTTTAACTATTTCAGTCGTAGTTTTCAACATGGCGTCTTGTCACTTACTCAACACGGAAAATAAGGGATATTCTGGCGCGTTGGGAAGTTTTTTGATGGGAGGAAATGGCAATTTTACAGGATATTTGGACGCTTCGAACTCTGTAGCAGTCAATTCGATCGAGAGCAGTTGACTTTATTGATGCACTTTCCTGTAATAGGTGAGTGTTTGGGATGGAGAACGACGGATTTTGAAGAACTGTATGGTGACCTAGGTCAATGAACAATGACAAAAGAACTGGCTCGGGAAGTAAGTGGTTTTTATTTATCGAGTCCCTGTGAGGTTTGATGAATAGCAGAATCAGTACTGAATATGTCTCGATCGAGAGTGGACGGGACCATGAGCTCCTGATTGCTATATTTTAGAAATTTTCGTATATGGATCATCTAGAACCATATAGATGGTTGTAGGTGGTTGTAGGTGGTTTTAGGTGGTTGGCAAATTCCGCTAAAATTGTCAGCAAAGCGATTTTATCGAGATTTGTGTTTTGCCGCGCATGGTTAGCCGTTGTCTGGTTATTGTTTTTCCTTGAACAGGGTGTCATATTTCGTGTATGGACAATTCTCGTTTGCTTCATCCTTAAAGAGGGTCAGGGTTTAAGACACTTCGAGGCACACACTTATTCAAAATTTACGGGAGTACCCCCCTCCCCCGAAACGGGACAGTTCCTGTGACCTTAGTGTAGTATTGCTGCAATTTGGTATTTTTTTCAATTTTAGACTCAGAAGCATATACGGTAAAAACCGCTTATAGGAACCTAATTTTTTCCAAGCAAGGCTAAGAAGGTTATTATAAAAGATGGTGCTTAACTGGAAAATTTGGCTACTCAGGTTCTTTAACAGGTTCTTGTTTTCAAATAGACTGCGAGCAGTCTCTTTTGCTGTGAAATCCGACTGGAACGAACGGGGAAAAAGCGGACGTGATCGACGAGCGATGAGGGGCGAAGCCGCGATCTGCGAGCAGCAGGGGCGCCAGTCACAGCGAAAAGAGATCGCAGCTTGGCCGCTCACCGCTCGTCGATCGCACCCACTTTTTTTCGTGTTCGTGCCAGTCGAATTTCACAGCAAAAGAGAGACTGCTCACAGTCTAGTTTTCAAAATAAATGAGTTGTTTGTCATTGGGGGGCGTGGCCTATTTTTGACATTGCATGCATATGTTAATAATCCAAGCATATATTTACCAAGTTTACAAAGCCATCCAAGATAAACAGAACTAAACGCAACATTAATACATGGAACTGGGTTGTTGCTTTGACTGAATATCTCAAAATAAGAACCTGTTTCAAAGTTGTAGGCTAAAACAGGTTCTCGTGTAAAAGGGGTTTTAATGGACAATTTTAGTCTAACATTTTCAGTTAATCTATTTTTTCTTAAAATCTAGGTTCTTAAAAAAGGGCTTTTTACGTACCTGTAATAAATTCAAACATTGTAATAGTCTAGCACACTCGAGTTATTTTACATGAGGTATTTTGAGCATTTGACGTCATTTTCCCTAATTCTCAACCAATATCGACAATTTGATCGTAGTAGCACTTTAAAAACATTACTTTTCCTCTACACTTCTGGAGGTGGAAGTCTACGAGAAGTTTCCATTTACCCACTTTATTTTTAGCGATTTATTAAAGCTTTGAATATCTATCATCTTGAGGCCCCCTTTATCATAATCATTGGTCATTTGTGTCCTTTTAATTTTGTCCCCTTTGCTTTCCCAGAGAAAGTCATATAGCAGGGTATTGATTTTCTTATGTGCACCCTGATGCGTTGGAAGAGAGGTTAAAACATGTACAATTTGGGATACTGCC